GCACTAAGTGGCATCCAACAACAAAAGAAATTAAGAGGGGTGCAAATGTCAAAGGATGGCTGTTCTTTGGTTCTCATGTTGTCCCAGAAAGTGCAAATAAGGTAAGTTTGCCTTTAAATGTATGAGTATGTGACATTCATACTTGTGGTATGATAAAGTGAAAGTTCATAAAGGATTTCTAAACCACATGATAAGAAAATCAATTTTTTGGAATTTCTTTATTTATGAGAAATTCCAAAAAGAATGGTCCAAATTTATGGTATTCTTAGCGTAAACTGCACATAAATAAAGACACTCACAGGACTGAAATAAAACTCATAACGTTTATTGTAAACATTTGGTTAGACCACAAGATGTAATGCTGTAATATAATAAGGAATGTATGTCTAAAGTATAATACAGAAATTTATTAAGGAATTATAGACATTTATAGAATGTATATATAGTAATCACGCTTAAGTAAAAGCAATGTAGAGAAGCCAGAAGAAGGGTGGAGGGAAGTTAATTCGGATAAGATATAGATTGAAAGGAGAATAATATTGTTAAGCTGTATTGTGTTTAAGATATTTTGAAAAAATTAATAAAAAATATTGGGGGGAAAAGATAAGAAAATCAATTTATGAAGTATGGGACAGATATAAAAATCTGCTAGAACAAAAGACACCTTGGTGGAGATCTCCAATAGAAGCACTGACTGTTAAAAAATTAAATATGGAAGGGAGATGGGCCACCGATGGTGAAATGTCGATAGAAACAGAGAAAGGGTGGAAACTTAAACTATATGAACAAATAGAGGAATGGCTTACTGGTTGGTTGCAATATCATCAAATAAATGATATGTTTAGTGCTGACAAAAGGAATTTTGGATTTGAAAGTAAGAAATCTAAATTTCAAACCAAGTTGCTGGAGGGATAAGCTAAATTGTTGTCAAAGATGTACAGTGGTACCTCGGGTTAAGAACTTAATTCGTTCTGGAGGTCTGTACTTAACCTGAAGCACCACTTTAGCTAATGGGGCCTCCTGCTGCCGCTGCGCCGCTGCTGCACAATTTCTGTTCTCATCCTGAAGCAAAGTTCTTAACCTGAGGTAATATTTCTGGGTTAGCAGAGTCTGTAACCTGAAGCGTATGTAACCCGAGGTACCACAGTATAACTTTTTGTTAGAATGGCACACCAAGGATGAAGAGGTGAAAGAAGTAATGACGAAATGGGCTATAGATTTTGGGCATAATATCCAGTATGAATTGTGGTCAAAATTATGGAATCAGAATTTAAAATTTACAGCATGTACGGTCTTGAAAGAAAATGTAATGGAAATGATATATAGATGGTATTTGACCACAGTTAAGTTGGCCAAAATGTATAGGATGAAAAACTAATTATCCTGGAAATGTAATGAGAAGGATGGAGACTTTTACCTTGTGATAAGGTGAAAACTTTTTGGGAAATGGTCTATAATGAATTTAAAAAGATGTTAAAATATACCTTCCGCCAAAAACCAGAAGCATTTCTGCTTGTGTTGATGGGAGAAGAGATTGCCAAAGTAGACCAAAGATTATTTATGTATGCCACCACTGCGGCAAGAATTTTGCTAGCCCAAAGATGGAAATTACAAGAATTACCAACGATTGAGGAGTGGCAGATGAAGATGATGGAACATGCGGAGTTGGCCAAATTGATTGTGAGGATCCGGAACCAAGGTGACCGGAAATTCCAGAGAGACTGGAGCAAATTTACTGAGTATTTAAGAGGCTCTTGTAAAAAGCTGAAGACACCAGCAGGACTGACATAAATCCTGCAACATAGTGTAATAATAGTATCTGACCATAGACAATAGAAGGGACTTGATATGTATTAAAGGACAGAAACTGACAATAGAAAGGCGTGTACAATTTATGAGGAAGCAGGAAACCAGCTGAAGGGAAGGAGGGAAGTCACGAGCTCAGCGGAGCAAATGCATTTGATTGATTATTGTAATGTTGTAATATTTTATGTTTTATTAATGAACATAATAAAAATTATATTAAAAGAAGACTCACTCCCTCATCCCTGTTTCCCTGTGGACAATGTGCTACGAGTAAAATTTCCCTAGATGATCTTACAGGTCTGTACAGGGGAAGCTGGCCTTTCAGGTAACCTGGTCCCAAGTTCTTCAGGCCTTTATATGTTAGTAACCAGACCTTTACCATGGCCCAATAGTTCATTGACAGTCAGTGTGGTTTCCTCAGCCACTGTGGCAATATTACTCCATACTGACTGAAGTGTAGCTTGTCCCATGATGTGCCATGACCTTGAGCTGAAGACCCAACTTGTGTTCTTCCTGAACACAAGCATCTCCTTGACCACAGGTAGATAAAGACACGTGGTAACAGAGTGCCAGAGGGTGGCTCAGGCTGATGGCAGGACAGGACACAGACATCCCTGGTTCACTTCATGAATCACATTTATAATACTCAACTAGCTACAGGCTCCGAACACACGTCATGAGTATTTCATTTTAATGAAGACAGATTCAAGCACTTTCTAGGAATTATCAGGCTAATGGGTTGAGCTGTATTTGACAAAAGTTTCTTATGAGAAGTTTTCGATCACATTTCCATTTAACAACAATTTTCCTTCCCCACAATGTGCTGATTTCTGATGTAACTCTAAACCAAGATAAATATGCTCATTACAGTCTAAATAGGAGAATAACATTTTTAAAACTCCCACCACTTCTTCAACATACACCTCTGCCTCCCTCCTTTTTAAATATAATCTGCCACCTCCCTTTTAATGACTCTGCCCACACTTTTAAAAATAGTGGGTTAGCTTGCACTATGGCAATGATATTAATTAAGCTAACACTGTGATAATTACAAGGTTGTTTATTATCCTATTTTTAAAAATATAAACAGAGAGAACAAAAGTGGTGTTGCAGCCATTAGGAATATGACCCATTAAATTCATAAGAGCAGAGATTCTGTTCACCATTAGTTTTAAAATATTGGGTTGCTCATTGTCTTTTTTTTTTTTAGGAACCTTGTTTTCAGCAATTCTGTAATGCTGTTTTCTGAAAATGACATAGAGGTTAGCAGTAGAATTGGCCAATATATTGAACTGCAATCCTATGCCTACTTATCAATGTATTCAGTAGACTTACTTATGAGTAAACACACACACACACACACACACACACACACACACACACACACAGTGTAATCCTATGTTTAAAAGTGGCTTTCCTATGCAAGGGATTTCACCCCTCAACCCAAGCTTCTGACTATGTTTGGAGAACACTATCAGGGTAGAATTGTAAGGGGTGCCTGGGTGAAAGGGGTGCCTCCTCTGGTCCACTGGTCCACCACTGTGTGCCAGGGGCTTGTTCATAGCTTGCATAACTTCTCCTGACTCAGAAGTATTGGAGACATAGAGTTGGGTATCATCAGTGTACTGCTGACACCTGGATCAAAAACTCCTAATCACCACTCCCAAAAGGTTCATACAGAAGTGGAATAGCTTTGGGGAAGAAATGGAGCACTATGGCACGCCATAGAGAAAACACCAGAGAATTGAAGAGCATTCTGTCAAAGTTACTCTCTGAACAACACCATACAGGTAGGAATGGAGTCACTGCAACACTGATATCCATCCCATGGAGTCAATCCAGAAGAATTCTATGGTCAACAGTATTGAAAGTCACTGAGATATAGGGTAGAAGTTCTAGGGTTGCACTACCCTTGTCCTTTTCTCTATAAAGATCACCCATCAGGACAACCAAGGCAACCCTAGATATTTGTGACCGGGCAATAGTTGTCACAATCCATTGGGTTCAAGACTAGGTTTTTCAGGAGTAAGTGCACCACCACTCCATGCCGTGAAGCATTCACCACAACCTGGACCCACCTGGTCAAACCCCATCCACCCACCAGGTAGATTTCACTAGCCGTGATGGGCAGGGTTCCAGAGAGCCCATAGCAGAATGGATCTCTGAAAGTACCCTGTCCAAACCACTAGGCTGTATAAGCTGATATATTCATCCCACAAAGTTGGACAAGACACAGCATTGGACGTGGGAGTTGGAACGGCCAGAGCAACAGCAGCATCTAAATTGCTGTGGAGTTCATAATCCTCAGGGTCCCTTCCAATTCTACAGTTCTATGATTCTATGAATCTGTGAACTTTTTCCTCAAAATGGTGAGTGAGACAACATTCCTTTGACCATAAGGGAGAAGAAATAAAGATTTCTTTTATTTCACTGTTATGCAGTTTTTGCTGTTTCTGTACCAGGTCTGTGCTGATTTTTATTTTTTTAAATATTATTAAAGTCAATTTACATCTGCTGACAATATATCTGTCAGATATTAATAGATAGAGCAGTGTTAGCCATCAGAACAGACCTTTTAAATCTGTGTTTTAAAGCTGGTTTACTAAGCTGATCTATCATTTGCTATATTACACCAACAGTGTAAAGAAACAATATCCATTACAATAGAATTATAAGAATAGATGTTTCTGAACAAGAACATGGAGCTAAGCCTCTTTCTGCAGATTTCAGCCATAAGATGGCAATGAGGGAATGTCTTTGCAGACTTCCTTAGGTAAGAAAACTGCCTTGTGGTGATTTTACCATGTAAATAAATATCAAGTGAAGTTTATCTCTTTGGCTTAAGGTTGGTAAGCTGATACGTCAACGGCCAGCATGTTTCTTAATACCATTTGTTGGAAAATACAGGAAGGGGGGTTGTTCTTATGCTCAGGTTCTGCTTGAAGACTTCCCATAGGCCACTGTGAGAATACGATGCTGGACTAGATGGGCTATTGGCTATTGGCTCAACCAATCAGGCTCTTACGTTATTCTGTCTTCCTGTAAGAATTTGCCACCTTAATTTTCACCCAAGTGGTGTGGTCCTGCCCTTCTTTAGATAGCTTTGGAAGCCAATCAATGTGGCTTGATGCAAAAGTGGACAGGGCTTCCTCCACCTTTAAATAGTTGCATAGACGAGTGAATTGCATAGAAGAGCTCTTTAGCTCAGTCAACAGAGCATGAGACTCTTAATCTCAGAGTTGTGGGTTCAAGCCCCACGTTGGACGAAATATTCCTGCATTCCAGGCGGTTGGACTAGACAACCCTTGGGGTCTGTTCTAACTCTATTTTATGATTCTATGAATTTCAGTGGTTGCAGCTTTCCAGTGAAGCCACCCTTGCTGAAATCCTCTCCTCCACACTACTATTTAACGCAGAGGAACCCAGTCCTCTTTCCCCTCTGGCCACCCTAAAATTATCAATGGGATTTCATTTCATCAGCCCAGGTGTACATAGTTGTAAAAGGTAAAGGACCCCTGGACAGTTAAGTCCAGTCAAAGATGAGTATGGGGTTGCAGCGCTCATCTCACTTTCAGGCTGAGGGAGCTGGCATTTCTCCACGGACAGCTTTCCAGGTCATGTGGCCACCATGACTAAACCACTTCCAGCGCAATACACACCGTGACAGAAACCAGAGCACATAGAAATGCCATTTACCTTCCCACCACCTATTTATCTACTTGCACTTTGATGTGCTTTCAAGCTGCTAGTTTGGCAGGAGCTGGGACAAGCAATGGGAGCTCACCCCGTCGCAGGGATTTGAACCACTGACCTTCTGATCGGTAAGCCCAAGAGGCTCAGTGGTTTAGACAGTGCAGTCCTAGGCATGTCTACTGATTCAGTTCACATTTAATCCCAGGTAATAATTTATTAGATTGCATCTAAAATGTCTGTTCCATGGCTTTTCTCTTTAAAGAACTAACCAACTGGAAAAAGCATTTGTGAAGAAATGGTATGTCTTTGGGATACAGCATATTTTCTCACCTGCGTGCCATCTTGAAAACTACAGACACCAGCCATGTGGTGCGGAACATTTTTACAGCAAGGTGCTATATTTGCCTGGAATGGCATATGGGCGTTCAGGTCTGGTGAGTGCAGATTGACTGGTGCAGTAAATGTGTAGAACGTATTAGTGGATTTCTGCAGTGTGGAAGACAAATATATATTTGAAAGGAAGCTTTGGTTTTATTTAGAAACAGAAAGGTCAAAATAACAGCTTATAGCCTGGAGGTAATGTAGCTCCCCTTCTTCTTCTTCTTCTTCTTCTTCTTCTTCTTCTTCTTCTTCTTCTTCTTCTTCTTCTTCACAGATAGTCTTATTCTGACACAACTTCTTCTCTTATATGCTTTTGTAGGAATAGCGACTCTCTGGTTCAGAGTTCAGTTTCGTAGCCATTCTGTTACACCAATGTAGTGTTAATGGGAGATTTCATCCCATTGCAAATTCTGTACCAGTTTTAGAGGGATTCTACCCCCCCCCACAAAGCTCATTGCTGGGGAGGAAATGGTTGAATTCTCTCTTGGCCTGCTTTTATCACATTAATTATTAGCTCCTTGCCTGCCTGCTGAAATAATTTTTTTTTAAAAAAATTAGCCCATTAAATGTGAAGGGTGCATTCAATGTTGCATCTGCTTTGACCCCAACTGTATGTGCTGTTGCGAGTCCTCAGCCGCCTAATAAAATTTGCAGTACAATTCTATATATATGTGGATTCTGCAAGGGAAAGAAAACTGAGGGGGGTTTCTAGGTTAAGCATTTATGACTTCTTCAGCTTATGAAAAAAACAACAACATGACAGAGTTTATAAAATATGGTGTGGAGAAAGTATATCATGTTTATGAATTTAGTCTTACAATGTGATCCTAAACACGTGTACTTCAGTGGGGTTTATTTCTAGGTAAGTTTTGGTTTCTCTCAGTTTCTCATTTTTCCAACTTTAAGTTAAGCTCATCACCTTTCCACATGAGAAAATTCGCCAGCATTTTAGTGAATTTACATGGTTTTTGCAAGCAATTTTGCTAACTATAATGCATTTTAAAATTTTCACTAATTTTTGCATTTTGGCACACATTTTTTGAGTTGCAAAATTTGGGAAAGTGCAGATTTGAAAGGTTTAATGTTTCAGCAGCTGAGGATTATGAGATTCCTATTAAAATACAAACACACCTGAATCCCTCCCCAGCCCTACTCTCAGGTAAGAATACAGATTGCCACACTAATGTATTCATCCCTTGCTTGTGCATTCAAGTTTGTGAAGCAAAAAAAAAGGATCTGGAACTGTTTCCCCATCTTTCAGAAATAGATTCTCATAGCCTAGTGCTTTTTTGTTTTTTGCTTTTAAAAAAAAATTGCTGCTGTTTGATAGCTCCACAAGTCTCTTTCTCGTTTGCCTGTTGAATACTCAACCAGGGGAGGAAAACAATCCAGCTTTTGTATTCCACAGTAAATTTGGCTTTCCACATGCAGTAAGTTTCAAACACAATTCCCTGAGAAGCCAGCGATTAGTGGATATCTGTGCCCACTTGGCAAAGGAAGCCTAGACCTTCACACCAACAATCTGAATATTCAATAGGAAAGAAAATATTTTCCCAATCTTCCTTTGTTTCTTGGTCTGGCTGAAGTAGCGAGGCTTCAGTCAGAGCAGCTGTGCTGAAAAATCAGATCTTTATCAGACTTGGCGCCTCTGCAGAGAAAACACAACACAGAGGCTGAAGGATAAAGTGGCAGAAGAGGCAGCTCAAAAGCAATGTTCCTCAAACACTTATGATGTGATGCTGAATCTGTGTGGGGCCTGCCTGCTGGAGATGCAGGATTAGAAATGTGTACGCTTTGAGGAACCTGCATTTTTTGTAGCAATGCTTCACCACAGCAACAGCCCATTGGGAAGGTCGAAAGTTTTCATCCAATATCTAGGACCAGTGCCGGATTTACGTATAAGCTAAACAAGCTATAGCTTAGGGCCCCACTCTCTTGGGGCCCCCCAAAAAATCAAAGGGGAAAAAACTGGGTGTACATTTCCAAAATATAAGATAAAAAACAAATAAAATAAAACCTACATACAGCAACAGTGTTTTGTGTTGTGTAGGCTCCTATGATGTAAGTAATGGGCCTCATCTGCTAGCCTGCTCCCTAAAATATCACTATCACTATTAATATACTACTTCTTAATTGTATTTCAGTTCAACAATTACTTTGATAAAAGACATATTTTGTTATGTGCATTTGCACATAATAGATACCTATTAGGTCCATAAATTACCATATAGTTTATATTCAACACAAAAAGCAGTGACAATTTGTTGTTGACAAAGGACAGCTGGACATATAAAGGGCCCTATTACCTTCAGTAGCTTAGGGCCTCATCAAACCTAAATCCGGCCCTGTCTAGGACGATACTTTGGAGCATCTTCCTCCCACAGACAATTTCTGCCACTCTTTCACTTTGAAATGTCAAGTGGTACATTTGGTAAAGCATCACCTGAAACAACGACAAATCATGTCAGTATATCAGAACGTTCCCTGCTTGCTAATACCTTGCATGTGCCTTGCAGATGTGGCTTTTGGTTTTCAAAATGGAGCTGGATAACTCAAGTATGTCCTTAGTTTCACACCTTTTGCTTAGGCATACCTACCAGCTGTAAAACTCAGACTTAGGTTACATCTGCCACCATACAATTAAAGCATTATGGTACCAGTTTAACCTTCATGGTGTCCCTCAAAGGATCCTGGGAGATGTAGTTTGTTAAGGGTGCTGACCCTGGTTCCTGTCACACAACTAAAATTTTGCAGAGCCCCCTGGGAAGGGGACTGATTGTTAAACGATAGTGTTTAAAGCCCTAGACAACTTGGGACTAGCAGACCTAACAGACCCCCATCTCTGGCTGAACTTTAAGATATTCTGGAGAGCCCTGATGATCATATGCAGTGGTACCTCGGGTTACAGACACTTCAGACTCCGTTAACCCAAAAATAGTACCTTGGTTTAAGAACTTTGCTTCAGGATGAGAACAGAAATCGTGCAGCGGCAGTGGGAGGCCCCATTAGCTAAAATGGTACCTCAGGTTAAGAACACTTTCAGGTTAAGAACGGACCTCCAGAACAAATTAAGTTCTTAACCCAAGGTACCACTGTATACATTTTTGTGCACATTTTTGCCCTGCAAAATTCAGAGAAGTGTGAATTTTGACACATATAAGCATTTCAGTCCACACATTGTATTTGGAAATGCAGACTAGGAAGATTCACATTAAAATGTGAGCTGAACCAAATGCCTCTCCCATCCCCATGTTGTATATTGTAAACTTGCTTGTGATCCTTGGATGAAGGGCAGTATAGAAATTTAATAAATAAAGACCATTAAAAATAACACACTTTAATTATAAGGGTGTGACTTGTGAAATGTTTGCCTCAGATCTTACCTTCTCCATGAACTCAACTTGCATACTCAGTGCCACCAGGCTCCACCGCATCTGAAAAATGGGCATAATGCCAACTGCCTACCTTTCAGGCTTGTTGTAAAGCTTTTTGAGACATGAAAATCACTTTGAGCATTTAGGCAATGCCGCTAGTCAGATATACCAACCAGCTCTTTCAAAAAAAACCCTATGTAGTCAAATATCGCCTGCTTGGTTGATTTGTGGATTTGTAGTGACAGTAAAAAGAAAGACACCATTGAACCCCTTTGCTGCTTCATCGCTCCTTTTCTTTTTAATGCTTATTTTGTTTGATTTCTTTCCCCTCCAAAAGTCACCTGCTTCTTTTAGTTCTGTCACTTTCTGCCATTGTTTGATATATCAATACGACTAACACTTATTGACAAATATTTACCAAGAGCATCACTCAATAATTTATTGTCCAGTAATTAAACATGCTTTGCATTTTTCTGCATTTTGTGTAAACAGACATTTGTTGGGGTTTTTTTTGGGTTGGAGGGGTGTTTTTAAACAGACACAGTAAGTAAATAACAGCATATGAATCTATTAATGTGTAGTTCCGTGGTCATCTATGGAAGGCAGCAATATACCTACCTACCTACATATCTATCTAGATTAACATGATAAAAGCTTTAAAGTGGTTTGCATGAAATCCATAAATGTAAGTTCTTCTGTTCCCCGAAAATGTCACTGACAAAGAAGGGAAAATATGCCAGCCCTGGTATTCTTCTTTCAGTTAAAAATGGATGACAAGTATTTTTTTTTAAAAAAAAATATACCAAAATTTAATTATA